GCTGCATTTCTGATGGAGGAGGAAATGTTGTAGGCCCGTGTGCTCAGATTTGGGTGCACGTTAAAGAACCCCAGGTGGTCGTAATTTCCAGAGCCCTCCCTACGGCGTCTCTCATAATGATATGCTAGTTTTGGGACGTTAAACCGTCCATATAAATCAATCAATGAATCATTTTATATGGAAGGATAAGGATCATCACTACTCCTTGTATATCTAGCTAGCACTAGGTTTCACTACTTGTGTAATTCTATCCCACTGCCTGTCTGTCCTTCAACAGTCTGCTTCACTGTTTTTTACTGAGTAAGTGTAACTTTTTTAATGTATTCTTTGCTCGGTTATGTTTTTTTCTTAATGTAATTGTGTACTATGCAAGTGACTTATCATCTATGCAGCTTTCCTCATATTTTATTGAAAAGTATTTATTTTAATTTATATGTAGCTATAGCATGCACTTATCTTCTCCTAGGTGCCTGTACCATAGTTAAGCCCTATAAAGGTACTGGAATACTCTAATATTGAAGCAGGCATGTGAAAACAATTTTGTTAGTGCTAATAAAAACGCGTTTATAACCTTTATTACTACTCTTAGATGAGCTGTGAAAACTCTATGAAGATGTATTTACATTTTCGAATTTTGTGGAGGCAAACGTTCTTATGTTCTTTTATTGTGCTCCCTGTTTTACGCGAATGACACATAATTACTTTGTAGTGGCACAGTATCAGTTGTAATTTTACACATATGTGCTGAGCAACATTGCGGTTGAGGCCAGCAGCAAGACATGCATGCACAGCACTGGAGCATCACTACTTAGTGCACAGTCTTTGCCCACCAATTAACTGAATTTTTTTCAAGCAGACTGCAGACAGCTGTATGGGAACTGTGCTGATCTGCAATGTTTGAAGCTCTTTTGAGGAATGTTTTTGGGAAACGAAATGGGGTCTATAGCTGTCAATATAGACACTGTTTGCACCGAGGAGCTTTGTAGCTTAGAATCGTATTATTCATGTATTGTCTAGAATTTCTTTGCGCTGTACCGACTTTTTAGTTCAAGGGTCCCAACATGCTTTGTTACTGTGTTGTGAATGAGCCGAGCTATGTAAACAGAGTAATATTGCAGACATGTACCAAATTGTGATGCACAGCCCTTTTCCTTAGCATCACATTGTCAGGAGCTTTGTTCTTGTGTTTTTTTTTATAAAAACTGCTTGTCACTTGGCAGGAGCAGAAACTACGCATCAAGCTTTTTCAAGGTGATTCGAGAAACACTGAGTTCAGTCATAACAGTGCTGGGGGACTTCTGTCGTAACTTATTCTCTGTGAGGCTGATATATTCCAAACAGGTGTTTTAGAATTGTTCTTTTATAGCCATTCATCCTAATATTTGCACCTTAGTGTATGTATGTATGTATGTATGTATGTATGTATGTATGTATGTATGTATGTATGTATGTATGTATGTATGTATGTATGTATGTATGTATGTATGTATGTATGTATGTATGTATGTATGTATGTATGCATGCATGCATCTTTTAAATTAGAAGCCGTTTATCTATGATGAGTAAGTTTTGTAATGATTTGGCTGAATTTCTTTCTAGTTCTTTTTCTTCTGAGCCATTACACTTGTCAATTAGTTTTTACTGCACAAAATTAATGTTATCTTACACAAAATATGTGCATTAGAATAAGTTGTTTCATTTGTCAACGTACATTCATGAGCAAGAAATTGAGTAAAATGGAACCAACCAGCAAAGATTAGTTTAGAGCGTAGCTCCACTATATGCCATATCTTGTGCACATGCATTGATCGAATATGTTGATTTCAACATATGAATTTTAATGAGCATAAACAAGCTATTACCCATGGTTTTATATGTGTGTGGCATTTAGGCATATTGCAATACGTGTTGGCAATTACTAAGTCAAGCTGAATACACAGATTTTGTCCATGCACTTTTCATCTGTACTGGAACTGTTCTTAATAAAAAATAAACTTTGGTTAAAAAATTTATTGTTTTAACTAATAGCAAAGTATCCCTCTATGACGCAAATAAATTTGCCATTGCTCTGTTCAACTCTGGACAATCGGGGACCCTCTCTGCAGAACTCGATTAGCTGCTATAGTTCTTTGTAACCATTGACATCGGCATTACACTAAAGCGCGAAATGTGACCTGTAGCGAGAAAAAAGACACAATATAATCACTTTGTTTGTGTCTTCACTACTTGCCCATGCTCTTTTGTATTGTTGCATGTAATGATTATCACCAAATTAGCCCAAAAACGTGTCCTGACCAAGGCAGTCAACTTTGCCGCAAGTAATTAGCTCGTTTCATGTCTAGAGGTCTTTCAAAACATCGTAGTCATTGACCGCTGGTCGAATATCCAAACACGTCAAAAGTAATATACCGGGTATGATATTGGTAATTCGGCACTGAACACTCTTGCGATAGCAGAGGATGGAGGGGGAAAATATGAACCCTGAATTTTGGAAATCATGAGGAAGCACGGCACAGCGTTTTGGGTCAGAAGGGGAGCGAAAGAAGAGAGTGCGAAAGCCACCTTCTCAAGAAATGAATATCCGCCGGCACGCATATTCTCAGGCTGGGCAACCTCTTGAAAAATGTTCTCGGTGACACTACAAACCGAACCCAGTACCTCCTAGATTGTAGTTGAACGCTGTAACTGCTTGTTTACTGCTGCAGTGCTTGAGATGAGAGCTTTCCACTGCAGCATTTACGCTATTGCTAATATATCGTCCATCCTTCGATTGACTCCAAATGCAAAACATCCGGTGAAACTTGGTCAGAAATAAAAAAAATAATCAGATTGCGCTCACCCAAGGTTACTAGAAGGTAGAAACCACCAAGTGTGGCTGTATAACTGTCCGCTATTTAGGTTGTACATTACTGTCATGGTATTATAATAGCCGGCTCTAACGTACCCTACCTTCCCATATTTTGCCAAATATAAAAAAAATAAAAATATATAGGCGTATCACAACGCTAATCAGCTATTCTGAATTCACTTTTAATAGTGTCACTTTCACTAAATGAATACACAGTTTGTTTCTATTATCGTTATTTAAGGAAGATTTTGCTCACTGAATCACAACTCTCCCAATTACCATTGATTCCCACATCTAAAGACAGCCAGACTTCATCTCGCTTTCTATGTGGCTGTCGCTCCCATAAAACACATACTCCCCTTTTTTATGCTCTCCAAGCACGCCCCCGCGGGTTTCACGCTTGTAGGTTGCTGCTCCAGGACGTGCTAGCACGCGAGAGTCTCCCTTTAATTACCTCTCCTCCCTTTTTGCCGAATCAGCAATAAAGTTGTTTCACTCACGTATGCTCTCCTCGCATCCGACGCTTCTTTCCAAAACTTTACCTGACGTCTGCTGGGCTAGAAAATTGTCTTTATTACCTGTCACTTCGGTTTCAGGATTTCGCCGAGACGAAACTAGTCTCTCTCTCTCTCTCTCTTTGTCTTTTTCGCAAGTGTGGTAACGTCTCTTGACTTCAGTACTCGTATACGCGTACCTTGCTTTGTTTGCTCACTCAAACAGCGCTGGACGAAATAACTGCACCATATTTTCTGAAACGCATTAGCAGTGAAACGCCTCCAGACGAGTCTCCCTCATTTTACGTAGGCACATATTTAAGCGTAAGCGTATGCACATTCTCCCATTCCGGCTTTATCAAAATGCTGTTGTGCATGGAACCTCACACTCTCATTTGATTACTACTGTTCTATATTTCTGCAGAGTTCGTCCGCAGGCACAAAAGTCGCCCTTGTGTCTTGTAATAGGATTATTGTGAGAAAGGCAACCTTTTACGTCTAGCTACAAAACACCCTCACGTTCACCACTATACTATGCTGGATAACACCGGAATAATGGATTAATTGAGTAGCAACGCAGCTTCATTAAAATGTAAGGTAAATGGTCACGTTAAACACAGGAAGACATTTGTGGCACATTTTCAAACAATGCATGCATCGATTCTTGTGCTTTTTGCGTAATTTCATTGATGTGGTGCACCTGGAGTGTTGTTCACTTGTACTTGGCGAGATAGTCCATGGATTATTGCTTAAGGCAATCAAGCAATTTCTTTCTTAGCTGTGGTCATTGTTGAAACGCGAGCGTTTGGCTTTGCACAGCAGACCCAGACGTCTATTACAAGGAGGGATCATGTAAGCGCTGTGGCAGACGCCCGCTGAACTGAAACTGAGATGCAGCAAATCAATGGCTATCATCGTATAGTCTCGATGCTAGACGCTTTGCTTGCTACCTTGCTATCATCAGCACACACTTCTACCTTTCTTGCTCTTTCATCTGCTATCACGTGAACTCCTCACCCTCTTAAGTGCCGAATAAGTTAATTCGTAGCCGTGCTATCGTAATTCTTCGTGGTAAGAGAATTCTCGGCTTTGAAAATGCGCAGCCAAGAGAAAGCTTTGTAATAAAGTCCCTGATGCTCAAGTCTTGCGTATCTTGAAGGTGACTTCACCACATGACTCATGCGCTTGATGATGCCGCGCCGAGATTGGCGTCGTCGGGCCGAGTTCGAGAGATGGCGCGAGAGATCTTTTAGTACAGCCATCTGATCGTGTTTTTACTCGCGAACAAGAGGAACTTATTTCTTCCTTAGCTTGCGATCGACGTGTCTCGCTGGAAAGGGACCGCTGAGAGACTGTCACGTGGAACTGTCTTCTCATGTAGTGCGTACAGTATTGCAATAATTGAGGGACCAAAAATGATAATTTCAACCGATTTGTTTGGTGAAAAGGCCAGCTGTTTTCATTCGACATAGATTATTACGCTTGTGTAGGCCCGTGTCCTCAGATTTGCGCGCACGGGCCTACAACACATGCTGTAGCTGATAGCTACAACATGTGTGTCTCTTAAAAAAAGAAAGGTTGCTACCTAAACGCTCGATGCACCATGGCAGCGTCGATTGCTTTTCGCGCGTAATCGTACAACTCAAAGAATCACCGACCTCTTCATGAAACTTTGGCGTCAACCTCTTGTGCAGGTTTCTAAAGAAGCCATTGGTCATGTTGAATCGGTAAAGGGTTGGTGCGCTGTCCTCCCGGATGGTAAAATATGAATCTTTCAGTGGAAGATCATTTGGTGTTATGTTAGCGAACAGGTCATTCAGCAGCTTGTTTTGGTCGGTCGGGTTGTTTGCCCACGCAGAGCCTTGAGGAAGAAAAAAATAAGGCAGAAGGTGAATTGCGGGAAGATGCTCATAGCACTGCTGCAAAGTATTTCGATTTTTATGTGTATAGCAGTGTTCGAATAATGAGGACATTTCGCCTTAAATATGCCAACAGTACTAGAACAATCATAATGAGCCGAATTACAGTTGCATTAGCCATAACAAACTCTTTTCTGTCTCTTTGGCGTTACGTAGGATGTACTACAGGACGTCAAACAGGTAAAAAAGAGTGTTCGTCATTCGCCGTAATGGCGGAAGGTGGGGCTGACTGAAGTTCCCACGTTCAAATGCACATACATACATTTTGAAGTCGATAGAGGGATGACCACCCCCGTAGCTCAGGGGTAGAGCATTGAGTGTGCTAACCGAAAGTCGCAGGTTTGGAGCCTGCCGGTGGCCGGTTATCTTTTCATCCCCTTTACTTTCTTCAAATTTACATTACAATTACTTTTGATAACAACCCCTATACTTGCCCTGGAATTATCGTCTGTAAGTTTTCATTGACATAGCTTTCAGTGTGGAAGTATAGCGCGTGCTTTCGTCTGAACTTGACAAAAAGATATTTGCGAAGAATTAAGCTGGACTGTTCATTTGAAGCTAGTTTTGGATATTTCAAGCTTAGCTGGTGCTATGGTAACTGTATAAATTTTCATGTACGGCTTCAAGAAAAGACAGGTTCAACGTTTACTCATCCGTCTGAGTTGTTCAGTCAGGATACCTTCGGCAACAACTCTATTTGTTGTAGACAAATTGCGTGAACACGCACTAAACTTACTTAACCAACATTTGTTTCTTCCCGAGCTCACTATCTCGAAACTGAAAAATTAATTAAAGATTCCAATAATTCCATTAACAAGAGTCGTACTCGTTTTGTCTTTGTTGTTTCGCACATTTGCCTGTTTACGTTTTACCGTCTCTCTATAACGCAGAAATTACGTGATTTGATAAGAGAAGAAAAGAACAGGCTATGAAAATAAGTCTGAAAGTATCAATATCGCAGTTGGTGAGCAAACATTAGGATATAGAGTTGCGAAGAACGTCGCACAGTGGACCACTCTGAACTAATTTTGCTCACCTATAGGTTGCGTCTATAACGTGGTAATAGACCTGAGTGGGCGGCGGTTTTCTGCATATCAACTCCGTCAAAATGCGGTCACTCTGGTGAAGGGGGGGGGGGGTTCGTGCTATTGTTATTGCAATTGGTGGTACACTCACGAGGAACAAGCGAAACCTTGCAAAATGCTCGTACCACCGGCCTTTTCTTTTCCTGCTCTTTTTACATACTTTCATCAACAAAATGTTTTGCACTGGGCTTCACAAAGAGGTCTATGTAAAAGCAACGCATTTCTAACTAGGAGGTTTTTTGGAGCTCTCGCGAGACAGCACTACTTTGTCATTAACTTGCCGTCCGAGTGTCACGGCAAAGATTCTCTTCCTTTCCGGAAATTTCTTGAAGTGATCACGCGATCTCATATGTATAGCAGCGGCGTTGTTACGCTAAATATTGGCAACAACCTTGGGTATTCTCATTATTTCATCACTGTTTACTCCAGTGTCGAGATAACACCAGTGAAGCGAAATTCAGAGCAAAAGCTCATGGTTGAGTGTGACTACTGACTGTCATTACTAATTTAGCGAATGCTCATTCATCTCCAGGCGTATTTTTTGTTAGAAACTAGACTAAAAGATGTCTTGCTTAGTCGAGTCGAAAACACGCTGTTCGTAAGTGTAAAAGTGTGATTCTAAAAGGAACAAGTCAAAAATACTTAAAAATGTCGACAACACTCAGATGAAATTTATATTGCTGTAAAACTACGACAAATGCTCTTAAAGGAAGAAAGGCAAAAAACATGAGAGTTTATGCAGTGCAGCAAAAGGTATCACTCGGGGAGTCACACCTCGGTAAAAGTACGACAATCTTTTGCTCTCTGTGAAAATTACCATAAATGCGAACAATCAGCATATTTTTTCTAGATATTCCATTCCTGTTTTAAATATTACATCTGAAAACATCACTTCCTATAATTTAGAACTTTTTACTCCTCAAAAATTATGCACTTTATTTTATTTTCAGTAGTGCCACGATTCGATTCGCGTACGATTGAGTCTCAAACAAAGCCGCGATTTGCACACCTTTATGCAGGCGAAGCTCGTATTGACTGACCTGCGTAGCAGGTGGTGTTCCGAAAAACCCTTCTCATCCACAGCTGGCGTGCACCACAAATAAATAATAAATAAATAAAACAATTTTCCCCCCTGGTACTCGGGTTTGAACCTGATTCTCCACCGTCTGAAAGCGAATGCCTTCAACAGCAGACGACGCGCGTATGCTTGTCCTATAATAACTGAACTAAAGCATATAACTGCGTTTTACCGTCAACGCAAGAAAGACGGGAAGAAGGAAGCAGCACACTTGCTGTGGGTGCTTTATGATAATATTTCGTGCATGTTCACTGACTAAATGTAATCTGCTAGACAGTGCGTTAGGTCTATATCAGGAATTACACGTTTATAAAAACATTCTGACCTCAAGAAAATTGAATTACTTAACCATTATCACATGATAGCTTTTAGCATGGTCGTTTTACAGACTGACAAAAGCTGGAGAGAACGTCAAAGACACCACGCCGATGCCACCAACCCCTCTCAAAAAATAATAGATTGTTTTGGGAAGGGTCACTGTCTAGAAAAGAATAAAAAAGCAAAAACATTTGGTCAAGCGTCGCTTGCTCCGATTTTCCGATTGGGGGAGGGCTCCTAGAATGTTTTCAACCCTTGTAAGTCGAAGATCAGAAGGCGAGCTGGCGCCACGTAACACGATCACTACGGGACGTCATGCTACGTGGCTTCCTTGGCTTAATTGCCGGCCTTGAATAGTGTAGAATATACATTTTGTTAGGATGAGGGTCAAATAATGGATTGAAGAGACAAAAAATTGGGACGTATACTTTTCTTCATTCCTCCTAAAAAAAGTTTATATGCACCAGCAAGCCAAAGTTGAACATTAATAAAGTACGCTTGTGTTTGGAATAATTTCTCGAGTTCACATGTATTCTCTTAGTACTTTCTACACGCGTTATTCGCACTCATACATACCGCCTTGTTTTTTCGCTTCCATAGTTACGAAGTAACTACTTCTACGTTGCGCTGTTCCTACATTCAGTCATACATACCTGCTGCGGCGATGCTCACCACTACGACCCACACCTTCATGTTTCACAACGTAGATGGAACGCTGTTGGAATAAGAACATAAAGGAGAGATTATAATGGACAAAACCAGCGTGTTTCGTCATCAGAAATACTAAGTTGATTATGCATATAAACTTATTAACTTCTGTGATCTTCCAACCATAGTAACTATAATAATTTGTTAGTTTAGTTGTTTCAGCTATTTGGTATGCCATCACAATTAGTATGTCCATCGCAGTGTTGTAGAAACTGCTCGCGAGTGTGCCTCATGTGATCTACTTCTAAACCACACCTAAACCAAATCTACTTCTATAAATGGCTGACCACTGAATGAATCAAACCTTAAATATGATGTGTTACCTCATAGTCAATGGTACTAGCAATGAGCGAATCACACACCATTAAATCGTCGAGTTTCAAGTGGTATACGCAATCAGTGATGGCACGAGATCCATCCAAACACTTGAAGCACCTTACTTGCCTCCAGATCCCCCAGAGCTTCAGTGAAACAAAACTATTGAGCCAGGAGCTGCCCACCAAATGATAATGTGGCTTCGGGGGTCCGTGTATTGCAGCGGTCCCCTTATCAATCTTCCTTCGCCTCCTTCAAATCCTATTGCAGATACCATGTTTGTCCGTTTCATCTTGTACCTAATTATCAGATAAGCGATTACAGAATACTTCATGCACTTCCGTATATCTCTTAATGGTCGCATAGAACGTTTTCCTGTCACGAAAACTTGAATCACTGGCCATGTGCCAATCGTCATACTCATCATCGAAACATACTAAGCATGTCGCACAAGTGCACAGTCATCATGAGATAGAGAGTTAATCGCAATAACGTCGCCACTCGTTTTTTTAAATGAATGCTCTGCACGTTTTTATCACTCTAAAAACAATGAAAATCGTTCGACTCGTTTTGTTTTTGACGCATCGTGTGTATTCTTTAGCGCCTTTGTCATGTGACCATTGTTAAACAAAAGACTTTGAAAAAAAAAAGGCAAATCAATCCAGACAAATTGTTTTGTTAAACAATCCCGATAATGAACGCAACAGATAATCATGCCGAGGAAAGCAGAGGGCACATCATTTGAGGTTTTCAACGGAAGCAAAGCAATAGCAAACGGAGTCCAGAATGGCAGCGAGCTAGATAAAGGGATGAAATGCGAAAGATCGCAGGCATAAAATTAAATCAGCTCGCACAAGACAGGGCAAATTTGAGGTCATTTGGAGAAGCATGCGTCTATCAGTGGTGTTAATTAGGCTGACAAAGGTATTAATGAACAAAGGCCGGATTTTTAGCCATTAAATGCCCATTTTAGGCGCCAACAGGCAGGCAGAACGACGTTTTGGTCCTCTAACGTAGGAAATATTGGCATAATTTCTGTTTCACAAATGTCAGTAATTTAAAAGGAAGACTTAAGTCATCTGTATCTACGGCTGGAAAACAAAAAAACGTTATTTTTTTATGATGACACAAAGGCCTTAGTTGTTCGTATCATCCCAAACACTTACAAATGATCATTGGCTTTCAACGAACACACTGCTCACACTCATGTTTAGTGGGCACTGTTGCTTACCCGAGCGTCGCATAAAGTTAGACAGGCATAAAAATGAATACTTCAAAGTGGGGAATACTGAAAGTGGGGAATACTGAATACATACAAGTCGGGAATACTGAAGCACTACATTATGTTTGACTGGTGCACTCAAATTAGGACACTGCAAAAACAGAGATCAAATGAATGCATAAGAGATAACCAGATATCAGGAAATTGACGTGTTCTTACTTCAGGGCAGCTAGGGGCAACTCTGGCAATTTTCTCATATACACTGACGTTATTCTAACTGCACAGGCAAGGTGGCTTGCCCAGCCGTGGTGGTCTAGTGGCTAAGGTACTCGGCTGCTGACCCGCAGGTCGCGGGTTCAAATCCTGGCTGCGGCGGCTGCATTTCCGATGGAGGCGGAAATGTTGTAGGCCCGTGTGCTCAGATTTGGGTGCGCGTTAAAGAACCATAGGTGGTCGAAATTTCCGGAGCCCTCTACTACAGCGTCTCTCATAATCATATAGTGGTTTTGGGACGTTAAACCCCACATATCAATCAATCAATCAATCAGGCAAGGCGGCTTAACACTGCCAGTTACACTTCTGCCCATTTTAAGTGCGCATGTTTGAAGAAACCTGTCTGTAGAGCACGTAAAACGTAGTCTAACAATCACTTCAAGAGTTGTGGAAACAATACCAAACTACCAGGTCTCCAGGTTCAAAGTTTTATTGCCTCTCACTGAGGATAAGGTCGTACGATTCACGCTGCTCGAAGTCATCCCATGTTATTGGAAGTAGTTGTAATCGGTAACATTCGATGGCTTAACTGACGCTGGCCTCCTGTAGTGCTCACGAGCAAGGTATGTCTAAAATTCGTTCATGGACAGAAAATCCCCAATTATTTTGAAAGACCTATCGTAACTTCATTCGTGCCTTTTTGGCTACTAGTTTTTCAGAAACGGTCGCTATTCTTCAATGTTTGTTTCTCCCGAACGTTCAAGTTTCCTGATAGAATTCACGAGGAACGTAAAGTTTTCTCACAAGTATGAGTGAGGCTTCCTTGCAGGCTATCCTCAGAGTCAGAGACATTTCTGACTGGCGCCCTACCTTAACCTGAAAAGCCAACCTTGATGTCTGAAAAGTAGCAACTGCGATGTTGGACAGGTTCTAGCCGTGTGACGATAGACTTTGGAGGAATGAGTACGTACGGCAATTTCTCCTTGACCGAGCGCACGCGAGTGAATGCCTTCAGGACTACAGCCTTAATATTTCTTTTCTGGAGTTTACTGAACCAGAGTAGTTCATTGACCATGATACAGTTCCGAACAGTTAATGTTGCTCTGTAACATGAATAAGCGGTATCAAACTACACTTTAAATAAAAAATTGAAGTTCAATAGTTTAAATATAGGGGTAAATTTTGATGTAGGTATTTCTGTGGGCATTTACGTTCGTTTAGGCACAATGGCCCAAAAGAGGCATTTATAGGCCCTATAAAAACAATATAGAAGCCTTTCTTAATCATAAACTGTGCTCATGTTTGAAAGTGGCGTGATAGGCGTTGCAACTTTCGAATATAGTGTTTTACGTAAACAAGCCGCATCATACACGCTGATAAAAAGTAAGTTCGTAAAAAGTTACTAACTTCAGCATTCAATACATCCAAGCATAGACTGGCAACCTCACTCACAAGTCCACTCACCCAGACTCACTCAGACTAGGACTTAGCCGTGAGTCTGAGTGACTCCTAGTGAGTAATATTCTGGCGAATTCAAGTCCGAGTGAGAGCGATTGAGAAACATTTTATTTAGTCTGAGTCCAAGCGAGTCCGGTTGGGGAAAACTCAGATAATTGTGAGTCCAAGTGAGCCCTTAGGGCGAGCTAAACGTATTTTAGGAGTGAGCTTGAATGAGTTCCAGATCTCCTCAGATTCAGCATTTCTATCAGCTTTAGGCCAGATCATGTTTATGCTATTTATGCCCGCTCACACATCATTGCAGTATACTTTACGCATGAGTTACGGAGATAGGAAGGCGGTGTCTAGACCTTCCTCCCATTGTTTTCCGAAGAGAGGCCTTGTTAGAAACATATTGTGTGAGTCACCGCTCTCAATAAAAATTTACATAGTGGATGTCAACAACTAGTAACTCTGATTTAAATATACTAGAGGAAAAACACCAAGTACATTACCGATTACGTGATTTATTGGTGTTAAACACCATGAAAACCTGGGAGAAAACGGCTAAAAGCACGCTGAGAACTCATAAGTCAACTCAGTCAGTCTAACTGTGATCGAGCAGTGAGTTAGAGTCTGAGTAAGTCGAAGCGACGAATATTTCGGCCAGTTTGAATCCGAGTGAGTCTGGCTGGGGGAAACATAGATTGGTGGGAGTTCTAGTGAGCCCTAAGGGCGAGGTATGTTTCATGACTGAGAAATGAGCTCTAAATTTCCTGCCACTTATGTCGCATGTCAACTTTCTACGTTTTTTTACTACTGTAAAAATATATGCAAGCTACTTGCGTCTACAGGTCATTGTGCGTTATGTTTTATTTATGGCAGCCTTATAGAATACTTAGGCAAACTAACTTGCTTGAATATTGGAGAATAGCAGTATTGTGCTTTTTCATAGTGCGCGTATTCCAAGTAAAGAGCCTTGATATTCCATTTCTCTCTCTCTGTGCACATCCTCATTTATGGTTGTGCATCTGTATAAATCGATGCATAGATTGCTATTTTAGGATGCCATTGTGGTATGTATTTGTCATGGCAATCCTATTAAGGAAGAGCGATTCCTGATTTGAGCGAAAGAAAAATTCATTTATACAATCACGTCTTCCACAGGTTATGCTGCTTTGGTACGGTAAACCACGGAAACCAAGGAATCGTACGGTTTCACTTTTTTATTAGACCTTTTGTTTTTATAATAATTTGGCTTTGCGTGACTTTGCTAATGGCACATATAAACCGAATGAATAGAAACATGCTGCGCGGTAATGGTATTGCAGAAGTGTTGATAACCGAAGAACTCATAAGTCAACTCATTCAGTCGAACTGTGATCAAGCAGTGAATTCGAGTCTGAGTAAGTCAAATCGACAAATATTTTGGCCAGTTTGAATCCCAGTGTGGCCAGTTTGAATCCCAGTGTCATAGTCGTTACGTTACAAACTTTGTATACCTACTTCCCTGTAGCTAGTAACTTTAGGTATAATAATTTTCATGGTAGTAAGGTTGCTATCTGAACGGTTGCCACCTGCAGTAAAAAACGTAAGCATGGGTTTCACTCACTGTTCATCTCTGTCACAACCATTCGGTCTACAGGCTTATTCAAAGACAGTAATTACTGTCTTTGATCACTGAAACTATCAAAGATTTCGGGTTTCACAACCTGAGCAGGCCGGCTCTTTTTCAGGCTCAAAGCCGATAAAAGGGTCTGCATCATTTATTCTTGTTAGAAAACTTGTTTCTGCAAAGCTTGAATCACCTGAAGAACAACGAAGAGTTCTGCATGGGAAGATAGCTCCGATGCCGCTTTCGATGTCACAAGGTGGTTGAAAAGGGAGACTTGAAGATTTATCTTCACGGACTCTTTTGTTCAAGAGCTTGTCGGCGGGCATAGACACTTTCTCGAGAACTGCAGCGGTCAGCTAACCTGTCGTAACGTCGACGGAAATATCCCGGGTGAGCATACCTCGAGAATACCAGGTTGTCTGAGGCGGGCTGGACGAAGAAAGCAACCCACATCACGGATCGTCAAAGCTGACTGCGCCAGAATCGCTTAATCACTGAGCCCAAGAGAGTTCATCTTGTTTTTGTTCTTGTTCACCTTCTTCTGTGGCACACACTCACTGTGGGGTTTCGCCAAGAATAAAGTGGTCAAGAATCTTCTCAAATTCAGGAATACGCGAGATTATAGCAAAAGAACATTATTAAGTTTACAAGAAATTCGGTGCTGACTCAAATGCAAAATTAAGACTACTTGTTCATTATAATAACTAATTAATTGAATAAACAGCCAATTTTCCAAAGA